TGCCCACCCCCAGCCTACTTGCTGTGGGGAAAAAGGGAAAGCCTTGATACTGTGCAAGTACTGCTCAGCAACCGCCAAAACACTGCTATGTTATCAAGGCTGCCTGTAGTCACAAATCCTTTGCCTGGCGGAAAAGGACCTGGGGGTGTTGGTCGACAGCCGGCTGAACATGAGCCGGCAGTGTGCCCAGGCGGCCAAGAAGGCCAACGGCATCCTGGCCTGTATCAGAAATAGTGTGGCCAGCAGGAGCAGGGAAGTGATAGTGCCCCTGTACTCAGCACTGGTGCGGCCGCACCTCGAATACTGTGTTCAGTTTTGGGCCCCTCACTACAAGAAGGATGTTGAGATGTTGGAACGTGTCCAGAGAAGGGCAACGAGGCTGGTGAGGGGTCTGGAGAACAAGCCTTATGAGGAGCGGCTGAGGGAGCTGGGGTTGTTTAGCCTGGAGAAAAGGAGGCTGAGGGGAGACCTCATTGCTCTCTACAACTACCTAAAAGGAGGTTGTAGCAAGGTGGGTGTCGGTCTCTTCTCCCAAGTAACTGGCGAAAGGACGAGAGGAAATGGCCTCAAGTTGCGCCAGGGGAGGTTTAGATTGGATGTAAGGAAAAATTTCTTTACTGAAAGAGTAGTTAAACATTGGAACAGGCTGCCCAGGGAAGTGGTTGAGTCACCATCCCTGGAAGTATTTAAAAGACGGGTAGATGAGGCGCTTAGGGACATGGTTTAGTGGGCATGGTGGTGTTGGGTTGACGGTTGGACTCGATGATCTTAGAGGTCTTTTCCAACCTTAATGATTCTATGAAAGGAAAAAAAGCCAGGAGGATGGGAGAGGAGCCTGCATAGCAGTGCTAACCTTGCAGACAGCCACAGAGCATGTATGTTGCAGGACTCTGTTTTAGTAGAGGGTACAGCAAAATGGGATTAATTGCAGTCTATAGATTAATCACTCCTACACAAACACAGAAATACCTGCTGCATGTGATTTGTGGGCTCTGCTTCTGGTAATATGGAACAGTGAGGAGAAGTTGTGCTGCAGTAGAGACACCTGTCCGAGGAAGGTCCGCTGGTGTGCTCTGGGACTGGGATGTCTTAGGCTTTGTAGTCATCCAAAAATAAGGCATATGATCCAGCTAGAGAAACCTGAGCTGTTGCTGTTAGAAGTCCAACATGTTTGAAGGTTTTTAGGCACACACATCTTGATTAGGGTATCTCCATTTAATTTTTAGACAACTTTTAGAAAACTTTTTTTTCCACTGGAAATGTAAATTCATGATTTACATGAAAATGGGCTTAATTTTACAGGCTTAGCATTAGCTGTAGTCTGTGCTAAAGATGTCTATGTAATGAATACTTAGCCATAAGCGTGAAACAAAATGTTTAGTAAATCCTGTAGTGCATTTATTCATTTTGTTACAGGTTGCATTGGAAGTTGAAACTCCAACTCAGATTTCTTTAGTGGATGAAACATCTGGTGAGGTAAGTCACAAAAAAAAGATTCATATATTTGTAATGGGCAGTAATACCGTTTAAATGAGCATGGGAAGTAGATCTGACCTGTAACATCTGAAGTGGACAAGCTATTTTTAAAATGTATGTTCCCCTTCCTCTCTCCAAGATGTGTAGCCACATGAATTCTTCTTCCCCACTTTGTTCTTATTATCATAGCATTTTTCTGGTAATGTTTTTCCACTGTGTTAGTGATCTCCAAGTTACCTTTTTCTCTTGTGATTTTTTTCACCTCATATTTCCTGGCTTATTTTAACAAGTTTTAAGAGCAGGACTTAAAGGTCAGGTACAGGCCTGGAGGAGCATCTCTAGGCAAAGTGTATTCCAGGATGTTTCCATGATGCTTGTTCACCAGGAACCAAGGAAGTAGGACTGTCTTCTGGCTGAGTGGCTTTCATGAGCACCATACAATATTCAGTCATCTCTTCTGGCATGACAGGATGGTCATTGCTCTTCAGGGCTTGTTGGAATGGGAAGAGACTTTCTCTTTGTTCAAAAGCATTGCTAAATTCTGCAAGAGGCTGGGGGGAGTAATGCGTTGCTTTCGCTGTGTCAATGAAAGTACTGGTTGTACTTATTACAGTGTGAAAATAATGCTAACCATCTCTTCCAGAAAGAAGATATAGAGGTGACACTTCTGCCAGCTGGTCATTGTCCAGGATCAGTCATGTACGTCCTTTCAATACTCTAAATGTCTCTGCTGAGAGATTTGTCCTATAGAGTTCTCATTAAGTACTGGTTTTTTTCTGACTAGAAAAAGCTAGTGAATTTAAAATTCTTACTTGGAGATAATACTGTTGTGGCAGGGCCCACCAGCTTTGGTCAAGGTTGGAAAACCACTGTACTATCTGGGATCTGCCCTGGCAGAAGTTGTTACCTTGGTGGGGCAGATTACTTTTCCCCATGCCTGTGAATAACAACTTTCTCGATGTCAATTGTACTTAAAAATGACATACAGAACTGTGATTAAAAAGAAATCATCCATTGGTTAAGTATGACATTAAAAAGAAGGTGCCCAGCTTCCTGGTACAGGTGCCTAACAGATTCCTTTGGCTGCAACAGACAGCTGGACTACCCTCACAGAATCTGTGAGGCTTTTGTCTTCAACTCTGACCAGTCTGGGCACAGGTTATTCTCCAGACATACTGGGTCTGAATTGTTTGGTTTATCTGAAATTACTCTAGGACCAAATTAGGCCCAGTATTTCTATTACATCATACATGAGTCACGTAGACTGCTCTAAGCAAGGTAATAAATCAACACCTGGCATTTAATGCTTTATATTGTTGAGTTTGACCAAAGTGTTTCTGTTTGTAGGTTTTTGTTTGAAGGTGAAAATGGCACTGTGCTGTATACAGGGGATTTCAGGCTTGCAAAAGGAGAAGCAGCCAGAATGGAGCTTTTGCATTCGGGGACCAGGTGAGGCTTCAGCTATTCATGGGATTTAGAAAGAATGAAAGATCACACAGGCATGGACAATTCAGGAATAATGTACTCTTCTTCCTCATTTTTTATTCTGGATTAAATATATTTGCAGTCAGGCAATACTGCAGTTACAAACCCCTTTTGACTTGCTCTTTGTAATAAAGAGGAAGAATTGCCTCCTTTTGAAGAGAGAGGAAGTGGTGTGTGTAAGTACTGTGAGGCACTGCTCACTCTGATATCACGTTTCTCTTTCAGAGTAAAAGACATCCAGAGTGTGTATTTGGACACCACTTTTTGTGATCCCAAATTTTATCATATACCAAGCCGGGTAAGTCTAAATAAGCTGTGAGAGGAAGGGTCCTTAACGCTGCTAATTAATTAACCACCCCTTTGTTAGGTAAGTCTTGCAAGGCAATGCCATTTTGCATTACCAAATCACAGCACTTTGGAAGTATCTTCAAAGACGATTCACAACCTTTTCTAAACTTCTCAGGAGGAGTGTTTAAATGGGATCTTAGAGTTAGTGCGAAGCTGGACCTCACTAACTCGCTATCATGTTGTGTGGCTGAACTGCAAAGCTGCTTACGGATATGAATATTTATTCATAAACCTCAGTGAGGAACTTGGAATCAAGGTAACATTTCTGTAATTGTTGCTGTAGAATAGATCCTCAGGAATGATTGTGGCCAGTCACCGAGCTGGAAATGGCTGCTCAGAGGACTGAAGTATGTGAAAGATGCGCGTGCTTTCATTAACTACACTTAAAAAGCTACAGTTGTGCCCAAAATGAGTTAACTAGTTGATTTCAGTCTGGAACATCTGGGCTCTCCAGGGAGAAGTTAATCCCCCGTTTTCAAGCTCAGTGTTTACCTCTCTCCCTTTTATCTTGTGAACGATAAAGATCTTCTCATTTACATGACATTAATAGTTAGCAGTTATATTCTGACTTTCTTTGATGAATATTCATCCCTATTCAGCATAGGAGGTATGTTCTGCTTGTTCTAGATGTCCAAGTTACTTTTGGCTAACACTTCTCTGCTTGGATGTTATTAGTGGGTAGTAGCTGTTTGAATGCCTACCAGCATTTGTTGTGAGCAGAACCACATCCGTGTAGTTGCTCCAGCTGCAGTCTGGCAAACACCTTGAGCTAATTGAGAATAAAATCTGCCTTTCTCTAGGTGCACGTGAACAAACTCGATATGTTCAGAAACATGCCAGAAATCCTCTGCCATGTTACTACGGATCGACACACTCAGATTCATGCCTGTCGACATCCTCGGGTGTGTATCGTTTTGCAAAGCTTCTGCTAACTTTGCTGTGAAAAACTGGTTGTAGGTGCCAATATTTTGGTCCTATTGTGTTAATGAAGACTTGGGCCAACAGTGGCTTTAATGCAAAGAAGAGTGAGAACCTTAGTTAGTGCGTTGAAGTTTTCTAAAAAAAAAAAAAGAAAAAAAATTCGCTGATGCTAGAAATAGTTTAATTGCATTTGAAACTTGAAAATTGCATTTTTAGATGAAATAAGACAAGCAGCAGATTAGATCAGTCAGGTATTATCGATTTAAATATATCAAAGGCAGGTTGTATGGCATCTCCTGCAGCCATGCACTGTGTATGGCCTTCCCTTTCCGGGACGTCCACCAAGCTGAAGGCTCAAGTGGGAGGAGTGCAGGTAGAACTGGAGGTGGCACGTTGGGGCATTGGTCTCTGTGATTGATTTACTTTGTCAGCTGCACTACGGAAGCAGGATGCAACAGCAAAGAGTGTTTCAAAGGAACTGGAAGTGAGATGAAAACTGGGTCTAGCTAAATACTATGTTGCTCAATTTCTGGGGGGAAAAAAGGTCAGGATTACACTTAATTTTATATTGCATTTAGCAGGATGATGACTGCTTTCGATGGAACAGACTGCCCTGTGGGATGACTTGCCAAAAAGGAACTCCCTTGCACATAATCAGCATCAAACCCTCCACCATGTGGTTTGGAGAAAGGATCAAGAAAACCAACGTAATAGTGAGGTGAGCATTTGGGCCACGCAGAAACCTGTTGTTTCAGGTGCGTATCTTGCCTGACGCTTGTAAAACACAATCTCAAAATGGACTTTTTAAGAGTAGGTTATGCTTGCCTGTTGACTGAGGATGAAGAGCAGTTGCCTAATTTTTGTGCCTCCTCTTTTTTTTAGGACTGGGGAGAGTACATACAGAGCTTGTTTCTCTTTCCACTCTTCATACAGCGAGGTTTGTATACTTGTAGTACAGAGTACACATTGATTAAAAAAAAAGGAGGTTTTTATTATTTTGGAGTGGATGACATGACTTGTCACAATAAAAAAATCTTTTCAGTAATAAGACATAAGGGGATAGGAAGTTCTGGATGCTGAGGACAGAGAAGTCTGTTTTAATGTAGCGGTGGAAGAACATGTCAAGGTAGGGCTGGATTACAAGCCTATTTTTTTTGTTCTCTTTTCTTTAAGTATTGGTCACTGCTACAGTTGTGTTGACTGCCTTTCCATTTTAGATTACTGTGTAACTATGCAATGCTTAAAGCTTGGAATTTTGGTTTTCAGTACATTGTTTATCTGCTGTGACTCCGTTTTGGATGCGTTTGCCACCTTTTCCCTGCCCACGCATTTAAACAGGATTTTCTCACGTCATAGCTGCCACAGTTACTCCTCTTTCTGTGTTAAAGACTAAAAGGTCATGGCAGCATCCTCTCCAGAATCATACGCTTTCATTTAATATGACTCAATCCGGTTCTTAAAATACTTCTCTCTCCCAAGAAACTGAACTGAAACTGGATCAGTGCTAACAATTAACCCGTCACAAAGCCTTGCACATACAAAACGGAGATTATTCAGAGCCCTAGGAACAGTCCTGTTTTTAAGATCCCGGTTAAGTTTTAATTTGCTGTGCCGTGCATAATTTTAAACGGAGGTACCAGCGTAGTACATACAACGTGGCAGCTTTGCTGGCAGAATACGGGGGGTAGTGTATTGTAACAGACTCATAAGATCATCTTCAACACCTCCACATGCAAAAACAGATGGGTCCTACCGGTCTGTATAGATAGGGGTGTAATCTGCAAACTTGCAAGGGTTTTCAGTGCTCAGCACTGATAAAGCCTCAGCTGGAGTGGAATGCCCCAAACTGGACACAATTCTTCAAGAAATTCACTGTCTGGAGAGCATCTAGAAGACAGAGTAAGGCTTGGAAAAAGTGACGTGTTCTGTCATATGGGCTTTTACAGTGGACTGAAGGGAGACGTTAGGAAAAGTCTTTGAGGAAGGGAATACTCTGATCTGCACAACTAGGGTCTTGGAAGCCCAGTAAGAAGAATGCAGGTCTGAAAAGATCTGCAGCAGTAAGAACAGTGAAGTGCTGGATCAGATTCCCTAGGAAGAGGTTTGTCTAGCCTTGTCTTTCAGAGACAGCGATGGTCTGCGTAGTAGTTGATAATTGCTGTGAGGTGGTTAGGTGAGGCTGAGTTCTCAGCATCCCTTCAGACCTGTTTTCTCATTATGGAGCTCTCTGCTTTGATAGCGTTTGGCTCATGGGTCATACTGGTCTTCACATGAGACAACTGGTAGTACTTACTGTGCGTGTGCTTTGATCAGTGCTGGCGTTAAGTGACATTATTAACTGTCGATGTAACTTGTTACACTGCCTCTTCTTTTCTTCAATTTAGATTAAGGATTTCCTAAGCTATATCCGTCCTGTGAATGCGTATCCCAATGTACTGCCAGTGGGTGGGACAGAAGACAAAGTTATGGAAATGTAAGTGACAAGTGGCTGCTGAATGGAGGTGATCTGATCCCTGTTCTTGTAAGGACAACTCTCCTCCGGAATGCCAGCCTCTCAAGCAGGCCACTGCCTTTTGCTTTACTTGTCTGATAATTCAGATTTTTTTTTCTACGTTCAGTCCTGCAAACTTCAGCTTTCTGAAGAACACTTGTATGTTGTGCTAAGTCTGAGAGTTTTTTATTCCACGCACTACTTATATCTACGCATAGAGGCTTTTCTGCTGTTAAACTCTGTTTGGGTGGAATCTGAATACACATTCATCTCACTTTATTCTGCGACCTATTTCTATTTGTCATTGCTGCTTCTCAGAAGTTTCTTTTAAAGAGGATTTCTCTGGCGACTTGAACTCCTAACCTCTGTACAGCATCACAGAGGCCTGTACTCTTGTGCTGTTAGAGACGCTGGCAGCTTAGAAAGCGCTCTTACGGAGCGGAAGACTAGTGGTGTCACTTGGTCTGAACAAACGGCGACTCGTTTCTTTGTTCCTTTTTCTTTTCCTCCTTAATAAGAAAGGAGATACTTTACAATTATTGAATAAAACTGCAGTCAGATTTTGAACCCTGTCATCTTGTCTTCTCTAAGCAAGGGACTAAAAGTTTCCAAATGGTGTACATGTTTTAAGGTAAATGTATAGAAATTACAGATGTCTACCTTTAAGCTACCTAAGCTCACCAATGAATTAAGAACTTTTCCCTAGCTATTGCTGCCTTTAACAATTTCACTGCGGTGCCTGTGAAAGGCATGGAGCAGTGTACTTAGATCAAGTTAAAAGATTTACTTTTGCTCCTGAAAGTATCTGCTGGGTTCTAAATATTAATTGCTTTTCTCATTCACCTCAGATTGAAGCCGTTATGCAGGTCATACAGGAGAAACATGGAACCCAGGTACAAGCCCTTAGGAACACTGAAGAGAGTCCACAAGAGAGACTTATCAGATACAGGTAAAGGTTCTGCTGGTGCTACTGTGCCTTCAATGAAAGTCTGAGACTAAGCAGAGGTGCCAAAAGCCATGGTGTTCACCATAGTCTGTCTGTGTTCAAAGCAACGGTCAGAAAGGCGAAATATAAATTAAGTGAACTTAGGTTTTAGAAGAAAGCACTAATTATGTAAAAGAGTACCTGTTTGCGATCTTAAAGCGTACTTAATGCTTAACAGCCCTTTAAGTTTCTGGAAGGGTTCCATTCCACAGTCCTAGACCATCCCTAGTAAAGCTGGTTCTGACGGAACTTTACTTGTCTCACCTCCTGTGTTGTGGAGGACAGAGTGGCATATCAGTGGAATCGCTCCTCTTCGTTACCTCACACTGCTGGCTTTTTAGCACCTAGTAGCTTTTTTTAACTTATAATGGTAAACGGATGCTGTACACAGCCTCTGGAAAGCCACTCGGGAACCAGAAGACAACTTTGGGCCTGCTGCGTTCTCTGGCTATTTCTGAAGTGACAAGCATGCAAGGGTGAGGTGGTCCTGGCAAAACACATCAGAGGTCTGAATAAATCTGTCTACCAGGGCTACGTCTGATCTGCTGTAGCTTATATGGAGGATGACAACTACCAGCTGTCCTTGTTTAGGCGCTGTGCTAGACAAGGCAAGGCAAACACTGTCCTGCTAAGTCTCCGCCTGGGTTAAAGAACTTTTTCCTCTCTTCACACTAAATGAATTTTTATTAAAACTTTGCTATCAACAGAATTTTATCAGAGATCTGAACTTCTCTTACTGTTTTTTTTTCCTGTTCTCTTCTTGACAGACGAAGATGATCTCTTTGATACAGAATTAACTTCTGCAAGGCCTAAGATTCCGAAAGAGCAGAGAGGAGAGAGCAGGCCCTCCAGCACAGAACAACCTGAAAATGCTGAAGGAAATATTAGTGACAGCACAGAAAGTTACAAAGCGACCACAACTTACACCTCCTCCAAGGTAGACTTCATAGACTGCGAGGAATCAAATGATGATGATGAAGATGATGAAGAAGAAGAATCTGAAAAAAATGCAGTTCAAGTTCTTTCCCCTGAGCCAGATGCCAGTTCCACATCAAATTTCAATGGAGTCACTAGTGACCAACAGGAGTCCAATGCCGACGTCCCTCGCTGGGATGCATTTTTTAAGTGTAACAAACTAGAAGAAAGCTCCGAAAACGAGGACAACTTCCCATCTTCAGCAGATGCTGGTGGGTCCCAGTCACTCTTCAGTGATTTGGATGGAGTAAGCGACTCGACGCACATCTCCTCCCAAAATTCTTCTCAGTCGACGCACATATCGGAGCAGGGGAGCCAGGGCTGGGATAGCCAAATGGACACAGTCCTCATCACCTCCCAAGAGAGAAACGCCTTGGACTTGAGCTGCTTCGGCAAAGGTGGGAGCAGAGCGGTTGTTTCTGTATGGCAGGAGACCGCCAAAGACAGTCAGCCTGACAACAGTAGGTGGAAGCCAGTGGGTCAAAATAGATCATGTGCCGATGACGTTGCCTGTGACTTGAAAAGCAAAGGCCGTGAGAAAGATGCAGAAGCCGGCACTGCTCACTTCCAAGATGTGCTGGTGGAAACGAGTGACAGCTCCAGGACTCCTGATCTAGAACTGAGGAGGGACTCCCAGAGCTCCTCTGACTTCGAAATTCCCTTGACTCCTGATGCTGAAGTGCCTCGGCCAGATAAACTGCACTGTTTATATAAGAAGCTAGCAGCAGGTGAAAGCATACTCAATGAGAAAAAAGTCTCCTGAAGACAGGTGTAACTGATGACATCATGAAAATAAATACCAAAATTTGTTTATTAAATCCAGAATTATTTTTCTCCGTAGTGCTGATTACTATCTGCAGCTATGCTAATTCATGGAGTTTTTTCAGAAGTATCTTGCTGTCAGAACTAGAAATTTGCAGCCTGTGTAACTTTATTGTTCCTTCCATGAAATACTGAAAAGGAAGTATTCCTAGGAGGGACTGTGAAAGCCTTCTGCCTCCCGAGGTTCCGTTCTCGGGGACTGTTAAGTACGCAAAAAATGGACCAGACAAAACTACGGGTAGAACACTACATGAAATTTAGTGTTTCTCTCTATCAATCATGAGCTCCAAGAGTTTGCCTTCGATGTATAATCCTGTGTTTTCACTGCAGTTATTTTTAAAAACAACTGCAGAACAGATTAGAGAATTACTGAGAAAGGTTTGTTGTTAGTTTTTTTTTTTTAAATCAAATTGTTCTTTTCAAGCAGTCTCTCTTTACACTGAGCAAGTGTTATCATCCAATTTAACTCCCGAATGAGGTACTATGTACAACATACATTGCCTATGGTTTAAATTTATGGTTTAAATCTTAACTCACCACAAACAACTTGTCATCAGTTCCTCCGTGTTTTGGCTTGTTCTGAATTGTTTTTCAGAACCACATAAAAATCAAATCCCGCGGCATTTGGTTCCAAAGCCACCAGCAGTAGCCTGCTCTGGAGGCTAAGTCACAGCAACAGAAGGTAACCTCTTACCCCGGACAGGTGGTTGTTACTCAAGGCTCTTACACTACCAAATTCTACCTCCTCTGCAACATTCCGTTGACTTCACCGAGTTCAGACATGTTTAGATTTCTTTTTTTAAACCGAGACAATATTCTCTATGCATGTGTGCCATCATAACTAAGCCAAAATTCTTAGCTTCTAAAATGGAAATGTAATTCAGGTTTTTGTTAAACTGCAGTGCCTACAAAAATGCCTAAACAGCAGAAGTCATCTAAAAATCCATGAGGCTTCCCATCCATGTGGTCTGAAGTCCCAACGAATTAAACAGACTTTCAGTGTGACAGCTCTCCCCTCCGAGCACATCTTCAGTCCTTCTGCCATCTTTAACGATATGTGAACGTTAAACCAGCCAGCGTTCTGCCATTGGGGACAGGACAGGATGCCCAAAAAAAGAAAAGTTGCTATCAATCAGCTATCCTCTATGTATGGTTTTAAGGGTATTCAAGTCCATGTAGTTCTCCACTGTCACCTCGCCCACTCCGTTCCTGGGGTTTGTTAACATAATCTCCAAACATGGTCTATCAACTCTTTTTTTTTTAGCAAGCTTGAGTGAGTGAAACTGCTGTTGTAACTACCTCTGTGAATAAAGTCATACAGCGCAGAATGTCTTCTGTTGGCTTGTTTCCTTAACTGAGCCGGAACTTACATGTACGGTAGTGTTTACAGCGTGCTTAAATATACAGGAACCCAGTCTGCTTTAGACAAGTGGACAGTGTAGATTTATACCAGTTCTTACCAGCCATAAACTGAATAGGAAACACACGACTTCCTCATGATCGCTCTGCTACAGTCCTTACCGTGCTAGAAAATTTGGGTACAGGACAGGAATTAAGAGGTTGCAGTCTTAAAGCAAATTCTACTGCTACAGCTGATTTTGACAGGCTAAGATTTTTTTTTTGTTAAGAATGACAACAACAAGAGAAAAACTAAATTCAATTTATTTTATCAAAAACTATAGGAAGATAGCAATACTAGAGATCACACGTTATGAAAAGAAAATGTTCCTGAGCTTACAAACTGCATATTCTAATGTATACAGTCCTAAAACATACATTAGAAATAACAAAAAGATTGACTCAACTTTGAGATTAAATAAATAAACAATAGCTTTTCTTACAGGTGATCCTGCAGCGTTAGTTTTGCTACCAAAAAAAAAAAAAAAATTAAACCCAACAAAAAAGAACAGCTGGAGGATAGATCACAGGTTACCAGTCTCGAAGAAGTGCATACACACAACTGAGCTGGTGGCCAAGATGATGCTAACAGACCACAAAGCAAAACAAAGGCAGAAGCTAGGCTGGTTTAGGCTCCTTAAGAAACTGAAAATAGCTTTTTCTCCTTTTCCAATTTGGCAATTTTCCCCCGAACTCGTAAAAACAGCAAAAGGAGTTTTAAAAGTGACACAGTGTCCCATTAAGCTAATTCACTCTCTGCAATCCAAATGCACTGTGAATGCATATAGAAAATACTGCTCAAGGCTCTAAATTGGAAACTTGGGTTTACTTCAAATAAATACAATATACTGTTACCTCCCCCAACATAAATTAATGGTCCTTTATTTATCGCAGAAGAGGTAACACACATACCCTTAAAGAACAGCAGTGTTATTCCAATGCTGGTGGTAACATACCCCGCCTTGGGAAAAAGGCAGACGCTGAACTCATGTACAACTTCTACGACTTTTATCTTTTAAAATGCATTTACTTGCAATTTTTAAATCAAACTGGGCATGGACATAGATAGACAAAAAGAGTGTCAAACCAGCCCTGTGTCGTCTTGTACAGGAGAGGCCAGAAAAACTGTTTTGGTAAGGAATCCATTTCTTGCCGCAGCCACTCTCGCCATCCTGTACCGACAGGGAAGGCTGCGGACGGCAGCGGATTAAGGAGCTGGAGGTTGCAGATTCCATCCACGTGGAATGCATCGCTGAATCGGGCTACATGCAAGAGAAAGCACTAATGACTCCAAATGATGTAAGATCATCCAGAGTTTGCTAACATTAAAGCTCCACATTCCACTTAAACTTTATACACATATTAAAAAAAAAAAAAAGAAAAAAATCATTAGAGATGTGGCATGATAAAAATTCACCTCATTCAGCATTATCCAAGGTGAGCCTGGTAATGTCAAATACGTTTAAATTTAAGCAAACTGACTCCTATTCCTTAAAGAATATAAAGTATCTATTTCAACGTGTATCTGTTTGTCTTGCAGATCACAAAACTTACAGAGCGCTTTCAATGGCCACACTCGCCACCCCAACCGTGAAACTGATTTTGGCTAGTAGCAAATAAAATTTCCGTTTTCTGCCAAAGAGCCGGCTCTTCAGTGCAAATGCAACTGTGCTTCTCAACGAACAAACAACCTGCATTATCCTTTGAAACGTTCTTTTTGGAGTGCTAGTAATTAACATGACGTTTAAGGCATTTTCTAACAAATTAAGTAAACGGTTATATGCTGGGTACTCGACTTCATTCACCTGAGCCGACAGCTGCGCACCTTATAAAGGTAACTAGCTGACCTATGATACATAGCTCACATCCATTTATGAAGCATCCATTTATGGAGCAACATTATTCTGCCCGACCCTATCAACATTTACATGATTTGTAAGCAATATGCAAGTTTTACAAGCTTTTAATCCATGACAATAAAGCACTTAAATCATCCCTGGAGTGTGAACCTTGGCTGTAACTCCACTCATAACCTACCTCAACTGCTCTTCAGTGTTTTTGAAGCCAAGGAAAACTTAGCACACATTATGAATAGATTGAGACAACTTTAAGATGATCAAGGAAAAAAAAAAAAGAGAAGACTCAAGCAGCTGAAGAACAGTACGTTTCTCAGCCTTTACATTCAAGAACATCTTACAAATGTCTACAGCAAACGGGTAAACTCACCCCTAGTCTAACTTCACTGAAGTTAACATTTTTGCAACAAGAAAAAACAGGCCTAGTACCTTAAAAGTCTGTCACTAGATAAAAAAAGTCACAGTATGTAAAAACTTAATCAAAACCAGTTGTGAATACAAATCAATTCCCAGGGTATTTTTGCACCTAACAGATAACTGAGCATATCTCCGTAATGCATCAGCTTTGTTAGACAATGGGCTGCTCTCCCTATTCTTTTGTTATCTATTTCAAAACTGTAGCCAGTAATTTGTTTCCGCCACGACTGCCAAATTTCTGCAACGAAAACAAACAGCGTATGTTACTACCGATAATTCGGTATTTACAAATTCTCTGTAGAACTGCAGATCTCCTATAGCATCCTAACTAAAAATCAGAACGTTAACACTTGGGAAAAAAAAACCCCACCCTACCTGTAAAACTTCTAAATAATGTAACATCAGCTAAAAATGTTGAGAGACCTTGACCTTATATCTGGAATCTGCTAAAACCAATTGCTTTACTTGCATGGAGTTCAACGGACATTTTACAGTTTGCATTCCTGTGAACCTTCATTTAGACACAGTCTGACGGCTGTCCTCAATCCTTCACCCCGGTGCCATAAATGTTATTGCTAATCTCTTGAAGTTTTTCTTTAGACAACAAAAAGGCAAAAGAACTGTCAGCTACGATCTAGGATTCAAATCAAATGCCTCCCGACTTTTCAAGGTATAGAAAGTATATAACATCGCTTCATCCCACTGAAATCAGTCCCTAAAAGGCCTACGGCTGTAAGCTCACACCTGAATATTCAAATGAAGGTACATTTTAAAGAGTTTTCTTAGCCTACATTTTACTGCTTCCCCAATAACAGTTCTAGAAAAATCAATTTTTAATCCCCGTTATCAGTTTTGTATTTGCCTGAAACACTACATCTCTTTCTTTGGCCAATGCCATTTCCATTACAAATGTAATGCCTTGTTTTCACTGTACTTATTTACATTAGACATTAGAATACTTGAATATATGTGTGAAAGAAGAGTCTTCTTAAAACACATTTAAAAGAGAACAAAGTACTTGTGACTTTGGATACCCGCACTCAGTTGAGATAACCTCTGCAACACACAGCTCCGCATTTACAGACAGTTCTGATCCTCTTTCTGGATGGGCTAAGGCCATCAGCAGAGTCTGAAGTCAGATCTATTGAACCTGTGACACAGATAAACACAAATAAGGAAGTTTTAAAAGACAGACTGAAACTGTGCTAGGTAGTCAAATGGCTTCAAAAAGCCTTCTAACACCCCGGTTCTTAAAAGAACTGTGTGTGAAGCTATACTCAAATTCTACCG